AGCACCTTAGTCCTTACAAACTCCTTCATTTGAGGGTTCAATCGTCGTTGCATTTGGCAAGAAGGTTTTGAATCCTCCTTAAGGTATATAACATGATTACAGATTAATGAGTTTATACCTTTCAAATCAACAATGGTCCATCCAGTGGTGTTTTTATGGTGTCTAAGGACTTCAATCAGCTTAGACTTTTGCAACTCTGCAAGCTTAGATGAAATTACCACTGGGTATGACTCGTCCTCCCCTAAGAATGCATATTATAGGTCAGATAAGAGAGGTTTTAGTTCAAGCTTTGGTGGCTTGACACTTGATAAATGTGGCTTTGTACCACTTGATGAAAGCTCTTCAAATTTGGGTGCCCATGCCTCAACAGCATGAGCGGGGCAACTTTGTGGGTTTTGATCATCATCTGTTAACTAAGATGACAGAATTTAGCAGAGGTTTCACAAAATGTATCATTCAAATGTTCGTGGACCAATGACTCAATGGAATTTACTTCTCTCGCATCTTTGTCCTCTCCTAGGTGCTTGACAATATTGAAAATATTAAGCTCAAGAGTCATATTCTCAAAAGTTAATTTCATGACTCCATTCCTGTAATTGATTAATGCATTGGAGGTTACTAAGAAGGGTCGACCAAGAATGATGAAAATTTGGTTCTCTGAATGCATTGTTGGTTGAGTGTCCAAAACAATGAAGTCAATAGGAAAGAAGAAGTTGTCCATATAAACAGGGACATCCTCAACAATGCCTCTCGGAACTTTGACAGACCTATCTACCAACTGAAGTGTAATACAAATGGGTTTGAGTTCGCTCAGACCCAATTGTTGATAGACAGATAAATGGAGCAAATTGGCACTGGCTCCAAGATCCAACAGGGCTTGTTCTATTCTGAAGTTTTCAATGACACATGACACAGTTGGACACCATGGATCCTTTTATTTTAGAGGGGTTTTGTGTTGAAGTAGGGCACTGACTTGTTCTATCAAGAAGACTCTTTTATAAACATTTTGGCTTTTCTTGATTGTGCACAAGTCTTTTAAAAACTTGGCATAAAAGGAAACCTACTTGATTGCATGTAGAAGTGGAATATTAATTTTCACTTGCTTAAAGAGCTCGTAGATTTCTGGATAGTTATTCAATTTCTGTACTATTTTGAGTCTTTGAGGAAAAGGAGTAGGAATAAGACAAGAAGGATCTTTTTCCCCTGATGGTTCTGGCTCGTTTTCAATTACATGTTCAGGCTCAACTGGTTCATTGACTGGGATTGATTCAGGTCTTGGATTTGGAATTAACGTGTCTCTGATGGTTTTGTTAATCACCCTATCACTTCTTAGTGTAGTGATAGCTTGAACTTGGTCTTGTGGGGTTTTCATAATTGAAGGATTTTTCACATGAAATTGGCCTTGTGGTTTTTTTGGTTGGGCAAGAAATTTGCCCTTCTCATGTGTGGTCATTGATTGGATCAATTTTTGGATGAGGATTTTGAGATCCTCGAAAGACTAGGTGGTTTGTGCTTTAAAATCATTGAAAGTTTGAGTGGAATGAGTGTTGTAGTTCATTTGGGTTTCCATGAACTGATTTAGTGTATCCTTAAAACTTCTCTTGTGTGGTGGTTGGTATGACTGATATGTAGGAGGTCCTTGAGGTTGTGCTTTTGAACTTTGTTGAAGATTCATGAGAGTCGGTTGTGTGTTCCTCCAACCGAAGTTTGGGTGATTTTGCCACCCTGAATTATATGTTTCAGAATACAGATAGGAATAAGGCTTGTTGAAGTTGGAAATTGCATTTGTTTGTTCCAACAAGACTTCTTTGAATGTTGGAATAGTAGGACATTCACCTATAGGGTATCCTATCAATGCACAAATTCCACACACTTGTTTTGTGGGAGGGCCAACATCAACTTGATGTACCTTTTTCATCTATAGAGCTTCAAACTTTCGAAATAGGGTAGTCATTTTTGCTCTCAGGTCATCATCTTCTTTCAAGACATACTTACCCCATTGGGAAGTAGATGGTTTGGTTTCAACAGTGGTAGGAGAGGCTGAGTCCCACATCTGAGAACTATCAAATATGGTGTCAAAAAAATTGAATGCTTCCTCTGGACTCTTTCCCATGAACTCTTATTGAGCCATCATTTCAGTAAACTGACGTAGTCTAGTGGACAAGGAATCATAAAAAAATCCTACCAAAGTCCAATTTTCAAAAGTATAGTGTGGGCAGGATTGGAGAAGATTTTTGAATCTCTCTCAACATTGGTAAAATATTTCTCCCTCTTTGATAAAAAAATTCATGATTTGTCTTTTGAGTGCATTGGTACAGTGTAAGGGAAAAAACTTTCTGAAAAACTCATTCGGTAATGCATGCCAATTTGGTATTGAATGAGCTTTTAAAGAGTTTAGCAATTGTTTAGTTTTATCCTTTAAAGAGAAAGGAAAAAAGTTTCAACTTGACCAATTCAGAATTGTCTTGGAATGTTACACATACCTCCTCAAAATCTTTTATATGCAGCTATGAGTTATGTTTTGAGTCCATGAAATTAAGGTAGTAGTTGCATTGTCCCCACCTTTACAGTAAAGAGGGGTACATTTGCAAGAAACACAAAACAAGAGGGGACATTGTTTCGTGTGGGATGCAAGTAATCCCATAGAGTTCGAATGTTAGGAACTTCTCCCTCTCTCTCAGGAACTTCCCCTTATCTCTCATAATTTGCCATGCTATTATCAAAAGATTTTGCTACTAATAGAGGTGAAGATGGTTCAGACTGATTTACAGACCCAATAGATTCTTCTAGCAAATTTTGAAAGTGAGGATCGTCCTTAGACATAAAATAAGAATTATACACAGCAAAAAAAAAAAAAAAAATATATATATATATATATACACAAATGAAGGTGTTTTCAATTTTTTTACCTTAAAACACCTTTTTGGTTCCCCGACAACGGCGTCAAAAACTTGGCTTGATCCGAAATGTGTACACCCAAGTGCAGGTGGTCATGTTGTAGTAATAATCCGGTTAAGTCTAGAGTTGAATCAACAAGGAATTAATGTGGGTGTTTCGAAGTAAGCAGTGACAGAGACCAAAGTGACTGGAACCCTTGAAATTTAAAGTTACATGTTTATGGATTTTCCTGGACAGAATATACAGTTCTTTTCAAGAGAATTTTCTAGACAAAATATAATATAATCTCAAATGTAAAAGTCACCCTTTAGCTCGAGGATTTGGACATGTAGTCAATCATCTGGTTGTTATACTTATGCTGGGGAACTCAATTAACTCTTGTGTCAACATAAAGCTAATCGGAGGATAAAAATGGATTGTGAGAATTAATAGCATGGTTCCAATATCTTTGTAGAGATCTATAAGAATTTTATGTGCTGAGACTCAACCTGTCTATAAACAAGCAAGTGTTTCTACAAGGAATCCATCCATGGTGTTGGTATTCCATTCTTAGTTGAAGCACACTAATGGTGAAGATTGAAAGGTAGTCATGAAGATCTAGCTGGAGTACTTGCAAAGGACTAATGAGTCTTCCTATGCCAAGAGTCATCTATGTCATAGAAAGGACTCATGGTTGTGCAAAGTACCCTAACTTTGCTAGATGCATTCAATCATTCAATAAGCAAGTAAGAGATAAAGCATTAAGCATAAACGAAATGCACAAATATAACTTTCGAATAATTTATACATGTCCATTACCTCTTACTAAAGCGTGAATGAGAAACTACTCACTCTTCATGCCTTTGGTAAAACTAGAAAAGTGAGTGATTCTCATCCCTCCAAGTAGAGGAGTTATAAGGTAAAACACACTACACAAGGAACCGATCTTTGACGAAGAATGAGTGAATCACGTTACCCTTCACGGCTTTGGTAAAGCTTTAGAAAAGTAGAAAAGTTTTACTCCTCTAAGGGAAGAAGGGAGCTCAAACAATGGATGCAAATAAAACTAATAATGAAAGTAGAAGAAAACTAGTCACTTTTGGAGGGTCTTCCTCAACCAAAAGATGATCTATCTCCCTCTATGTATGCCTACCTATAGCTAAGTGCAAATATATGCAAGTGTAAGTCTAAGTCTAAGTTCTAGTCCCCTTTTGAAGCTCCAACAATGGGAGTATTTATAGGCAAAGAGCAAGGGACAAAGAAATGTGAAAGAATAGTACAAGGTCTTCAAGTCCAAGTGAATGCACCAAAGTTCGGATAGAAAATCAACCACTATGCAGCTTGTCTGGGGACAAAGTTCGAACGTTAAATGGCGTTTGAACATTGTCTCCTGCCTTGATGGCGTTCGAACGCTGGATGGAGTTTGAACTTCCTACTCAAGTGACCTATGAGAGTAACTGCAACATGCCATATGCCATTGCCCTAACACTCTTCCAGGGGATCCTCAAATAATTCAAACCAACGTTCCATTGTAAACTGGCGTTCGAACGTTGTACTCAAGTATCTCTTTGTTTTTCTTCTTAGGAAATAGCTGTAACACGCCATGTAATATCAACTCAATAGTCTGGTCCTCAAATAATTTCAAAAGGACGTTCAAACGTGAATTGGCATTTGAACAATCATGCCTTGTTTCAAACTTCTCCAATTTTCTTCCAGAAAATGTGGGTATTGCATGAAAGTTTGGTATCCGTTGACTTTAGGCCTTTGTACAATCTTTATCCTGAAATGTTATCATTGAAACTCTATCAAAACATAATTAGTCTTAAAAAAGACATAGTGAGTTGCTAATTTTAACTACTAACCACTTAAGAGATAAACCTAAGTGATGCCTTCGACATCCTTCGTGTCCCAAAAATTTGAGGAGAGCCCAGGAACTTGAGTGATTGTTGATCTTATGCAAGAATTTTCCTTCTTTTAGGTGTACCTTTTCTTCTTGGCTTTGTTGATATCCTTTTTTTTTTTTTTTAGAATCCCATCCTAAGCTGACCCCTTTTGAAAAGGACAGGGTCACCAGGGTTGATAAATTCAAAACGAGGCATCTCAAGGACCTTGTCTCTCTGGAGAGCCTAAAAAGGCACGGTTCAGTTCTCCAGAGCTTGAGGGGCTTCCACCTCCCGAGCTCGAGAAGCATCTGTCTCTTTTTGCTGTTGTGAGCGATAATCCCATACCCACGGCTCAAGGTGATTCTCTTGGTATGGGGTGGATCCCTGAGTTGACTCTGCTCAAAGTTGGTCGTTTTTTATTATTCTCAATTTTGACTCTTATACTGCTTTTGAGATCGAATCAAGCTTAACTCTTAGATTTTCAACACGAGTCGAACTTGATCATTATTAAAACTTGAAAGATTTGACTCAGTTAAGACCCAAGGACTATGGGGGAAAAAAAAAGATACTATTCTATTTAGAATACTGCACTTTGACTAATAGTAGCGTTGCTATGTACCTACAATAATAAAATGAGGAAAGACTTTTTTTTTGGACGAGAAGGACCATCACGAAGACATAGGCTTGTTTGAGCCCCCATGATAAAAAAAAGATGTCATGATCTTTATGATGTGTTGTTTGATATTTTTCATTAAAACAATATGGTTGGTGGATGTTGTTCCCCTCGTTAGGCAGCTCTCAATGTTTCTACTTAATTTTTTTAATCACCATGCATTGGAAAAAATTGATTTTTGACGTGCTTTTGGCCCATGAAAGTATATATATATATATATACACACTTGAGACAATTATACCTGGTCCTTTAGAGTTTGTCTCTTAATCACTCAAACTCCATGATATTTAAACTATTACACATAGACCCTCCTAAAATTTGTACACGCGTAACACTTAAATCCTTGCCGTCAATGTCTGTTAGTATATTCGTTAGTAAATTATACTTAAACTCCTCAAGTTTAAAATATTATATTTAAACCACAAAAACTCCAATAAAAAATAGAATATTAAATATTTTAAATTTTACAACCAAAATTCATGTTCTAATGTATCATTAATTGAAATAAAATAACAAATAAAAAATTATTTTTTCTAAAGAAATCATAATTAATATACAATTATATTATCCGTTATAATAAAACTAAAAAAGCAAACAAGGGGTATAAATCATTCATAATAAAAAAATAAATTTTATAATCAAAATTCATGTTATATTATATCATTTATTGAAATAAAATAAAAGAATTTATTTCTTAAAAAATCATAATTAGTATACAATTTTATTATCTATTGGAATAAAATTAAAAAAATAAGGGGTCAAACTGTAATGAACACAATATCTTATAACTTTAATTGGTGTAATTTGATAGTCTAATTTGATCATTTAAATGACCAAATTAAATTCCAATATATAGTATAATTGTATACTAATTACAATGAACTCACTATCTCAATCAAGCTCTTTTATTACATTCAAAGTATGCCTAATCCTCTTATCTGTCAAAGGGTGCCGTTACTTTCATTGATCAACCGGCGTCGACATCTCAATGGCTTGGGGACTACCTTACTCGTAATAGCCACTATGGCTTGCTTTCCTATTGCCAGCGTTATCATATTTTTTTTAGTTTCAATTATTCTTTGGATGTGCTCGTTCGCTTTTTTAAGAAAAAAATTAGATTTTATTTCAATAAACAGAATATGAATTTTAGTTGTAAAATTCAAAATATTTAATATTCTATATTTGATTGGAGTATTTTTGGTTTAAACATAATATTTTAAACTTGAGGGGTTTAAGTATTACACGCTTATAAATTTTAGGGAGTTTGTGTGTAATTTATTAACGAATATAATAACGGACATTGACAGAAGTGGTCCAAGTGTTACGCATGTACAAACTTCAGCGAGTTTGTGTATAATATTTTAAATGTTAGGGAGTTTGAGTGATTGAGTGACAAACCTTAGGGGTCTAAGTGTAATTATCCCTATATATTTTGATAAGAGTACAAGAAGTGTATCCGACAGTTTCAAATAGACTCATTCTATGATTATCAACATCTCTATCAAAATCATTCACATTTCACTGTTCTTTAGGCACGAATTAACCCTAGTTAAAAATAAACTATGGCGGCAATTAGATTGAATTAAGTTAAGTCAAGTTTATGAACCTGACATATAACAACCGGTTTTATATAGGTTTGATTCGACTACTTTTTGAGTTTTAAAAGATTCAAATTAGCTTAGATTCACCTTGCTTTGATTGTATATAATAAAAGAGTAGAAAGATTATAGGCTACCTACTTCCAACACAAGTAGGCTGGGTGGCTTGGTTGGTCCAAGTTCTCGTTTCTAATTGGATGTCGAAGTCATGGATTTAATTTAAACTTGGGTAGAGAAAAATTAATAATAAACAGGGTTAAAATATAAATTTGAATAATTTAAAATATATATTGGGTGGAAGGATTTCAATTGAATTGTATAGTGTTCGAATCGTGCCATTTTAGATTTTTTTATCAAGTATTAGTACAACCTAACCCCGACTTGTTTGATTAATCGTATCAAATGCTCAGATGATAACATGTTGTGGTTGAGCCTGCACACATAAGTAGTGAACCACAAACAAAAGACTACAAACAAACTCTCTCTCTGGTAAAATCAAAGAAAAAACCCTGTAATCCTATAAGGGTTAAAATAGTACTAAATCAAGAAATTGATGCCCTTGCCGTTTCCATGATAAGAAAAAAAATTTACGGATTCAGTCATAGATTTGGTCTAAACAATAAAATAGGGTCAGACATTAATTACAATGAATGTGGTCTATTAAATCCTGCTGTGAAGGTTGGAACGAAATCACAATACCTCGTTTTCTAGAAAAAAGTCATGTCGGCATCTGTCTTGGCTGTTATTTAATTGTGGGGGTACCTGATTTACAAGAATCCCAACTGGAGAGTGTTATGGTATGAAAACCTATTTTTCGGTACCAAACCTTTTGGCTAATAAAAATTTGTCGGGTGTGTATTTTTATGCTATTATTTTATTGTACGCCTAACACGCCAGATGGAGAGACGAGCACACCATGGTCGTTGAAATGACTAATGAGGTTAGATTAGGAGTGCCACACTTTAGACAAAATAAGTTCACAAGACATGAATTTAATATGAAATTATTAGATTAGAATCAATAATCCTCAATATGAAAAAATGATATGATTCAATGACATGAATAATAAGCATGAACCGAAACGAAATAAATTTTGTTATCATAAGACAAGAGAGTTTTACAATTATTACGAAAAATAAGTTAAATTTTCAATTTTTTTTTGGTTCATAGTATGATGTGGGATCATTGGTTTATTAATTAGTTAAAAGGGTCGATACAAACGTATAACGAACAATATATTGGATGGGTTATTGTCACCACAAGTGCAACAAATAACTAAATAAGCCGAGACCTTTCAAATAATAACTAAATGTGCTGAGCTAAATTTGACAAGTACTCGATACAAATACAAAACCTCATAATTCGAATATGACACCAAGTGATTCGATTGACATCCTATGTTGCCCATCTAATAGAGCCGCTGCTCCCTCTTTCCCTCCGGTCACCTGACTTGGGATCAAATCTCACCGACTTACAGTTGGATATTATCCTTTTTTATGTGATTGATATTGGTAATGTATTTGTAGGGGTGACAATCTTAACCAATTATTTATTAATCCGTCCATAAATAATTTAGTTGGCTACTTATATTAATTAAATCGGGTTCTAAATAAATTGTGTAATATGATTCATCATTTTAATTAAGCGAGTTAAGATGAATTAAAAATGGATACCCATTGGATTAAGTATTTATCTTTCTATTACATAACACAAGTAATAAAATCAAATAAATATATTAATATACGAAAAAATACACACATATACATTAATACACTAAAACATACACATACACTAATACACCCCCATCACCCACGACCCGTAACCCATGGACCAACCCATGTCCCGTGACCCACAATCGACCCGACTCAACCCATTATGTGTGTGTATTTTAGTTTTTTTGTTATTAAATGCGATTGTGTTTTTTGTGTGTTAGTATATGTGTGTGTAGTTTTAGTTTACATATTTTTTCATGTATTAGTGTGTGTTCTGATGTATTAGTGGGTGTATTTTTAGTGTATTAGTGTGTGTTTTGGTGTATTAGTGTGTAAATTTTTGGTGTATTAGTATGTGTTCATATTAACAATTTTAATATATTTTATGGGTTAATAGGTTTAACCCAATCCATTATAACCCGTTTATTAAGCAGGTTAAAAATGGATTGGATTTGTTTTGCCTTAAACTAATGAGTAAGGATTTATTTTGCACCAAACCCATATTGAACCAACCCAACCCGCCCATTTGTCATCTCTATGTATTTGCATTCATCTAAATCCCCCTCCCTCACCCCCTCCCCCACAAAAAAAGCAAGGAAATGAAATTGCATTACATTTAGCTGCTCATTCTATGTGTGAAAGAAGAAAATAGAAAACGAATATCAATTATATATTATTTTGGTGTGCTTTTCCATATACATTAGGAGGTGTATTTATATTACAAGGGAATAGTAAACTATCCTAGTCTAACTGATGTGGGATAAATATTAAACATATATACATTAACATCTCCCCCAAACTCAAGGAGGTAAAGTAGAAATCAACTTGAGTTTGAACACCAAATCACGAAATCGGCCCGACGGATGTGCCTTTGTGAAATAGTAGCACCAAAATGAGAGACACCTAAAAATTCTAAGAGCCAATGAAGCCCAAGAAGCTCTTGTGTAGTATTAGCAAGAGCATGATACTCTACCTCTATACTGGATCGAGAGATAACATATGCCAAGAGATGAGAGAGCCCCCATAAAGAAACAATAACTAGTGATAGAACGACGATTAGTAGGATCTCCCGTCCAACCAGCATCAAAATTGACACATAGTTCAAGAGATGAGTGAGTAAAGTAATAAAGATAGTGAAACATAGTGCTCTTAATATATTATAGAATACGAAAAACAAAAACAAAATGAGTAGAGCAAAGGGCAGTCAACAATTGGCTGATAAGATGAACAACATAGGCTATATCTAGACAAGTAATAGTGTGAGACTCGTACCATGGTATTTCATAAACATTACAGGTAAAACTATAATTTCTTAATATTTACATGGGGTAAAATTATGCTAATTAAACTTTGATAAAGTAAGTATGTTTTAGTTAAGCAATTGCATTGTTGAATTACGAGGTAAGGGAGAGTATAAGTGAAATTTAAATATTGTCAAGAATTTATGAGTGGTAAAATGTGAAAATAAGCAAAACAAGAGGGCGACTTAGTGTAATTATTATAACTTTTGCATATGCGGACACTCGGTTGAGTTTAGTCTCTCCAGCCAAGCTTAGGGAAAATATGAAAGGGGAAAAAAGCCTTAGACGGTGGACATGAAATGAAAAGAAGAGGAAAATAAGAACAAATAAGAAAGCTTAAGGATTTTTGGAGAGGGAGAGGTAGTTTGTCGGGCTTGCATGTGTTCTTGAGTGAGAGTTTTCTTCTTTTATGTGGGTATCTGGATTTTTGCTTGTGTAAAGGAATGATGTGGTGATATGGTTGAGGAATGGAAGAACTCTAAAGTACTTGGGTGAGAATTTAGAGGAATTAGAAGGAAATGGTTTTCAAATGAGGTAAGAGATTCTTATGAATTTTCATGTCTTTTTACTTTTAAATGTGGCTTTGAGTCACGGGTAAATGTTGTGTGGTGTTAGAAATAAGGTTGGGTGAAAGAAAATGGAGTTTGAACCAAGTTCTGGAATTCTGAACAAGGTTCAACCGATTGAAGAAAGGTTCAACCGGTTGAATAGAGTACTGGTTGTATATTAACCGGTTGAAGCATGTGTTCAACCAGTTGAATGAGGATAGACTTCAACCGGTTGAAGAAACATGATCAACCGGTTCATTAGAGCCAATCTTTGCTGTGATGTTTTGGGCTCTTATGCAATTGATTAAAACCTTATCAAGGTATTTAAAGGATCTTAAATAAGTTCCTTGTGGGTTTAATGACCTACAAATTCATGGAATGAGGATTCAAACTAGAATTGGAGTGATTAAAGCGGGTAAAATATGAGTAAAGCTTAGGGTGATTAAGAGTGCACCATTTGGAAGGGAGTTTTTAGCATAGTCATGGATACATAGCTATATATGCATAATTAGGATTAAATGCTTCCATATTTACATGTTGTAATTATGATGTGCGGTAGGAACAGAGGTGTTGACTCCTACGACAAGAATGCTTAAGATCTTATCTGAGGATGAGTATTATGCGACGTCGGGACTTGAGGTGGGTGTATTTCTTGTGTGTGCATGAGATTAGTTTAAATGTGGTTTATATGTTATGGATTGTGTAACGAGGTAACTTATTGCTTGTGATTTGTACTGTAAATAAACTTTATCATATTATTGACATGGTTGAAGAGCATTGAGTGAGTTGATATGTGATTGGGTGAAAGAACTTGTAAATGTAATATGAATGATTTGTTGAATTATCGTGCCTTAAAGGCTTGTAGTATTTGTTGTTAATAAATAGCTGTGTGATTTGTCTTATTGGTCATAATAGGATTATGATTACTATGCGGTGTAATAATCTACTAACTAGACCAATCATCCATTTTTCTTCATGAGTTCTTCGCCGAACAACTCCCAAATACCACCAAAACCACCTGATTTGAATCCAAATAGCCCAAATTCTGCTTTGCCAACTTACGCATCATTGTTTAAATCATCATTGAATCCTGCAACCTGGTCAGAATCTAGCTTAAAAATTGAGAAGCCTATCGTTTTCTATGAAGGTGAGCCTGTGTTCTATTTCACTAATGAAGAAGTTCAAGCTTCTTGCCTTTCCTTGCAATATGCTCTCATTGGTAAATGCGCTTATGGAAGACCTTCATTAGGAGTGATAAAGGAAGTAATCAGATCGAAATGGGGTCTAAAAGGAGATTTTGAAGTTGGTTCTATCGATCCAAGACATATATTGATAAGGTTCCAACTGCATGAAGATTATGTGAAAATTTGGTTAAAGGACACCACATTGATTGAAGACTATTAATTCAGATTTTTTAAGTGGTTCTCCGCTTTTGTCCTAGGAATTGAACCATCTATTGTTCCAATGTGGGTGTCACTGCCGGGTCTTCCATTGAATTTTTTTAAGAAACCTTTTTTGGAGCTATTGGTGAAGCCAAATATGTAGGGTCCTTGCATATGATCAAGCTACTCTTTCCTTGTCCAGGCCGGGTGCGGCAAGGGTCTGTGTGGAAGTCAACTTGCTGGCTCAAAGAACCCAGATTTGGAAACCAGTACAGAAGGAAAGAAAGCAGAATCTTTGGTGTCTAAATTGGATGCAATTGGAAAGAAGAATCAAAGCTTGCAAGAGACAGCTAAAGTGCAGCAGGTTATAGCAGGTCATAAGGTTCAGAAGAGGAATTTGGAATCTTCGAAGCAACAAATCTCTGCCAATCAAGCTAACCAAGGAAAGGGTGTATGCAAACAACTAAATGGAGGTAAGTATCCCACTGATATGGTAACTCTAGAAGGAAGTCAAACGGCTAATATGGAAGGTAATAATGCAGTCTCTCATGGTATATCTGCACTTTCCAAGATTCCACATAAGGAAAGCTGCATTAGAATTTTGGAAAGAGGGAATTTCTCGGGGAAAGAAGATGCCGTCCAGAAGGAGTCCTTGCCTAATGAGGTTCAAGAACTGCAGAATGTTAATATTGAAGCCCACGAAGCGAGTGTTGATACTATCCATGAACTTGCGATGATAACTGCCAAGGAGCAACGCTTATTAAATGAGCAATGTTTAATAACCTCAGACTCCACCTTTTTTATTGACCTTAATTATGCAGCTAGGAAAAATTTCAATAAGTCCTTAGATGATGATATGGGACTATATAAAGAAAAGGAGTTGCCGGATAGAGGATATTACACGGATGATGAGGTCTCTGATAGCACTTTTGATCCGCTTTCCCACGGTTCACAATCCCCACCCAGTAGTGGTCATAAGCATATTCTATCGCAGAACCGTCCAACGGGCATGATTACTAGATCGAAATCTAAAAGAGTCACTTTTTCAATCCCTTTAAATGATTAACATGATCATATGGAATATTCGAGGAGCAAATTCAGAATCCTCCAGAAGAAGATTAAAGAAGCTTATTTCCTTAAATGATGTATGTCTAGTTTCTATTTTGGAACATAAGTTAAATTCTAATAAACTGCCAAGCCTTTGTAGGAGTTTGGGATTTTCTGGGTTTGTGGCCAACCCACTTGCTGAGAGATATATCTGGGTCCTTTGGGATCATCATAATACGTTGAAAGTAGCGGATATGCATGAGCAATCACTTACAGTGGAGGTCTCATTTATGGGTACTCAGCCCCTACTAGTTTCCTTTATCTATGCTAAGTGTGACCACATTCAGAGAAGACCTTTATGGGCGCACTTAGCTAGTATCCAAAGCTCCCCTAAACCATGGATGTTAGTAAGGGACTTCAATACCATCGTTTCTTCATCAGAGCGTAAAGGAGGAGCTGCCCCTAGTTTATCTATCATGAGTGAATTTTCTGTTTTCATTAATACCATGGGATTGCAGGACTGTGGTTTTTATGGTACTACTTTTACCTGGTGTAACAAGCACCATGGTAGGACAAGAATGTGGCAACGATTGGACAGAGCACTTACCAATGTTGAATGGGGCCAAAGATTTGCAAGTACTCAAGTGGAACATGCTGCTAAAGGTTCTTCTGACCATTGTCCATTAATAGTGAGGTTATCATAAGTGGATGAACCAAGAAGATTATCCTACTTTAAATTTTAGGACATGTGGACTGCTCATTCTGGTTTTCTTGAGCTGGTGGAGTCTTACTGGCCTGGTAATCACTTATCCAATCCTATTGAAAATGTGTTTTTGAAGTTGAAATTTCTTAAGTGCCAACTGAAAATATGGAATAGAAATACATTTGGTAACCTATTTGAAAATATTAAAGCCAAGGAGATGAGACTTCAGCAAGCAGAAATTGACTTGGAGAACAGTAATTCGACAGCCAACCACTCTGCTTTGGAATTGGCAAACAAGGAATTGGAGGAAGTGTTGAAGATGGAAGAAACTTACTGGAGACAAAAAGCAAATATGAAATGGACAATGGAGGGGGAGAGGAATACCAAATTGTATCATGCAGTGGCCAAGGGAAAGAGGGGGTAGAAATAGAATCTTGCGAATTAAAAATGTAGAAGGTGATTGGGTGGACAATGAGAAGGCTATAGCAGATTGTGCAGTCAGTTTCTTCTCCACACTTTACCAATCTAAGCCTTATGTTCTGGAGAGTGAGCTCTTTTCAGTCATTCCCCATCTAGTTATTGTGGAGGAAAACGTGTGTTTAACAGCCCCAACAAGTTTGGATGAGTTGAAAGAAATCATATTTTCAATGTCAATTCATAGTGCTCCAGGTCCGGATGGATTTTCAGGGAAATTCTTTCAGGTAGCCTGGCCTATTATTAAGCTAGATCTCCTAGCTGCTATGAATTATTTCTTGCAAGGTGGGGTTGTTCCAAGATCAGTGAATGCCACCTTATTAACTTTAATTCCTAAGAAGGATGTTCCTACTTCTTTTTCAGACTTCAGACCTATTAGCTTATGCAAATTTTTGTACAAAATTTTCACTAAACTGTTGGCTAAGAGACTTAGTGATTTACTACCCCAGTTGATCTCAATGGAGCAGCATGGCTTTGTTAAAGTAAGGAACATAGGTGACAGCATTGCTCTTGCTCAATTTATGGTGCATGACCTTGATAGGAAGGTGGAGGCTGGTAATGTTATACTTCAATTAGACATGATGATGGCCTTTGATAGGATAGAATGGGATTTTCTGAAAAAGGTATTGACCTGCTTTGGGTTTTCTGACAATTTTCTGATTATTATTTCAAATTGCCTTAACAATCAGCACATCACGGTGGCTGTTAATGGAGTTAGGCATGGTTTTTTTCCCTACTTCTAGAGGTCTTAGGCAAGGGGATCCATTATCTCCTAGCCTATTCTTATTAACCGAAGAGGTTTTAAGTAGAGGGCTCCGATATTGCTTCCAACAAGGTTTCATTAAAAACTATCACACAGGGAGGGGGAATGCACTACTTAGTCACCTGCTTTTTGCTGATGAAACTCTTATCTTTTTGAGAGGGAATAAGAGATCAATGTGTAACCTGTTGAATTTTGTGAGAAGATATGAGGGCTCATTTGGTCAGAAAGTTAACAAGCAGAAGTCATCCCTATATTGTTTGTCTAAGATTACTCTGGCTAGGAGGAATACTTTATCCCACACATCTGGTATCCCAGTCAAATCATGCCCATTCAACTATTTGGGGTGTCCAATAATTAAAGGTAGGGTCAAGCTGCTCTACTTTGAGGATTTGCTGCATAAATTTCAATCTAGGCTAGAAGGTTATTATGCTAAACTTCTATCCAATATGGGCAGAGTGGTTCTAATTCAATCGGTTCTTAACTCTATTCCGGTGCATCTGCTAGCTACTTTAAACTTGCCTAAAGGCATTATTGCTAAACTTAACTCCATTATGCCTTCTTTTCTATGGTCTGGTACAAGAGATGGCCACAAGAGTCATTGGTGTTCCTGGGATAATATTACTAGGCCTAAAGAGGAGAGTGGACTTGGGATCAGGAAGTTTTCTGATGTACAAAAAGCTTTTAGAATGAAACAAGTGTGGCAATTACTGCAAGGCTCATCCTTTTGGTCTTCTTTCTTCACCTCTAAGTATTTCAACAATCACCATCCACTTATACATCACACTAGCAGTCACTCCAGACTTTTTAAAGATTTGGCTCCGTGGATAGGGCCAATAATCAACAACTCCAAAAAGCTGGTGGGAACAGGTCATACAATTAACTTCTGGTGTGATAATTTGCTTGGAACAGGGTTGTTAATACTAAGGAATTCTACGTAGCCTAGTCAGTTTCCTATGCTATCAGACTTGTTGGTAAATGGTAGTTGGAACTTACAAGGAGTTTCAGAATGCTTAGATGACAATCTACTGCAAGAAATTGTTTCTTCATCTGTTTTGCTATCCTCTGAGGAGGATAAGTTGATTTGGCAGCTCACTCATACTAGGGAATTTTCTCTAAAAACTGCTTGGGATCTAGTTCATACTATTGGGCCAGTTCAGATGTATTATTCAGCTTTATGGAAATAAGTTTCTCCTCCTAGTTCTATTTTGCATTGATGGAAGCTATGGAAGGACATTCTCCCCATGGACTCTACTTTTAAGAGGAGAGGTGTGGCTTTGGCCAGCAGGTGTGTATTGTGTGCAAAGGAAGCGGAGACATTGGTCCATATGTTTATTAATTGTTCCTATGCCATAGAAGTGTGGGGTTATGTCTCCAGATTTTTTGGTTTTCACTTGATTGAGAATGAAGGTCCTATCACAAGATTTCTACGACTCCTAAGAATATTCAGGCTCTCTTCTATGAGTCATGTTTTGACTAGAGGTATTTCACTACTAGTTTTCTGGCAACTATGGAGGGAAAGATGTAGAAGAGTTTTTGAGAATCACAAGCTTCTCCCTTTTGTTTTATTTAAAGCTATTCTTCAGTTTTGTCATATGCAAGCATACAATGTTAAGCCCAAACACATGGACTCATAATCAGGGAAAACCCTTCTACTCTCTCTTAATATCAATTTTATCTCTCATGTGACAATAAAGGTGAAATGGGTCTCTTGGCTATATCCACCAGAAGGTAGATTGAAATTAAATATTGACGGAGCTTTAAAAGGAAACCCAGGTTTTTCTGGGGGTGGGGTGATCATACGTAATCATTGGGGTTAGTTTGTTCTAGTAGGTTCTTACTCCTATGGTAGATGTACAAATATGGAAGCTGAGATGCGTTCTTTATTGGATGGTCTTTCCCTCATCCATAATTATGGCTTAGAGATCTATCATTGGGTAATTGAGACTGACTCTCAGGTCTTGTTGGACATGATTACCAAAAAATCTTCGCCATCCTGGCATTTGTGGACATTCATGAATTAAATACTTCCCCTTCTATAGCCTATGGACTTTCAAATACAACATATTTATCGAGAAGGAAACTCGGTGGCAGATGTTCTGGCAAATCAAGGGGTTCTGCATCAAGCCCCTCGTTTATACTTGAATCAAGAAGACTTGCCTCTTCAAATTAGGCTTTTATTGCAGCATGACCAGCGTGGGATCAAGGCAGCTCGTAAGAGGTTCTCTGCATTGTCCTAAACCATTTGGACTCTACAGCTAATTGCAAGTTCACAAAATAATTTATAGCAATAGAAATCTCAAGCTTGGACGAGCAAGATAGACACCTATTTCAAAGTCAGGATGTTGGATTTGGTGGCTCTTCTGTTGCTGTCTATTGGCAGGATACTATGGAAAAAAATAATAATTTTGAGTGATGGTTAAACATCATATGGGCTAAAAATGGAATTCATGTTGTGTGAAAGTTGTTTTGGAGGTGTGGGAAAGCCATGTTTGAAGTGATCCATCATCCCTTTGGAGACGTGGCTCATGTATGGTGCTCCATACGATAATATTATTTAAATTCTTTTTATATAATACATTTATGCTTACGTTTGGTAAAAAAAAAAAATACTATGCGGTGTATGATTATTATGAGTAACATTATTATCGAATAATACATTAATAACAATTATATGGTTGGTGGGGCCGATACTGTCAAAATGACAGATATGTAGCTTGTGTGGCGGACATGAACAATGTGGTGGATGTGGTATAGGAGGCAAGTGTAACACCCCAAATTTTCTTTTATATATGTATATAGATATATAGTAAATAATTTTGGTATAAAAATGTGGATATATGTAGTGCTGTGTGTTTGAATTTGGTAGATTGGAAAAATAGAGATTTAAAATGTTAGTGAAAATAATAGTTGAAATTTGGTTTTAATAAGTGAAAATATGAAATTTTAGGTCCTAGAACTTGTATTAAATAGGTTTGGTGTAGAAATATGTTTTGGAGAGGTTTGAGATGGATTTGGTTGGCTTAGGAATGGATTGGAAATGGAAAAGGGATGAAGACAGACTGTGAATAGTGCACTGACT